AAACTGCAGCAATATGTAGAGTAGTTCATGGGGGCTCTGTGTGCCAAGTTTGGTCTTGATTGGTCATTAGATGAGGGTTGCAGCAGTTTTGGGGAGTGGAGGTACTTGAAGTCCCATCATCCATGGTCCGTCCTCCTTTAAAGTGCACCAGGATGTAGAGTGGGTTATGGGGGCTTTGTGTGCCAATTTGGCCTTGATTCTTTGGCGAGGGTCTCAGTGGTCTCAGGAAGTGAGTGAAGTGACTGCAAGTCCCATCATCCATTGTCAAATTCTTCCAAACCGCACCAGGATGTAGAGTGGGTCATGCGGGCTCTCTGTGTAAATTGTGGTCCTGATCCATCATTGTTGGCAGTTGTAATGGTCTTAGGAAGGGAGTGCAGGTATTGCAAGTCCCATCGTCCATGGTGCATCCTCCTCCAAACAGCACCAGGATGTAGAGTGCATCATGGAGACTCAGTGTGCTAAGTTTGGTCTTTATCGGTAATTGGATGAGGTTTGCAGTCTCAAAATTGAGCAAAAGTACTGCAAGTCCCATAATCCATGGTCCATCCCCGGCCAAACCACACCAGGACGTAAAGTGGGTCATGAGAGGTCTATGTGCCAAGTTTGGTCCTGATCAGTCATTGGATGAGGTTAACAGCGGTCTCAGAATGTGAGTGATGGTACTGCAAGTCCCATCATCCATGGTTCATCCTCCTCCAAACTGCAGTAGGATGTAGAGTGGGTCATGGGGGCTCTGTGTGCCAAGTTTGGTCTGTATTGGTAATTGTCTGACTCAGCCCCCTCTGGCCTTTTCCTTTCCTCTCTTTGTCATCTCGGAATCTTGGAATTGAGGCTGGCCAATCAGAGAACATATGCAAATTTCCTTCTCTCATGTCTCCGTTTCTGTCATGAACTCTTTTCTCCACCAGGGGCTCCTGTAAAGCTGGCCAATCAGAGACCATATGCAAATAGCACCACTGCGGCAGCCAATCAGAATGTTGGAACTTTCAGGGTGGCCAATCAGAAAGCTAGCACATACACCGCCACACCTCTGTCCGCCGCATACAAACTTTGACTTTTATTATATAGATAGATAGATATTTATATACCGCTTTTCTCAGCCCTCGTTGACAAATGGTCAACTGGCTATCTTCGAACTCATGACCTTTCGGTCAGTAGTGATTTTAATGCGTCTGACTCCCAACCAGCTGTGCCACAACCCGGTCCTGATTATGATTTGGGGTCCTGATGCTGTCCTTTGGGGTCTCTGCTTTGCTCTCGCCGCATGACTGACCCCCTCTTTGTTCTTTGACCGTAGATCCTCGCCATGGGCAACGTCCTGGCCGCCAGCTCCCCGGCCCCCCCTCCGGCGGCACCGCCTGGGCCGGGCTCCGGCTTGGTCTCGGTGCCGCCCGGCTTCTCCATGCCCCCCGTCGCTGGCCTGGTGCCCCCCACGCAAGACCGCCCCGCCGACGACAAGTGCGACCAGCTCCCCAACCCAGGAACATTTGAGCAGTGCCACCGGAAGTGCAAAGGTACGGGAAGGGTCCCCCACTCAGGGAAAGGAACAAAGCAGATTGGTTGTGGCTGGGGTGAAGTGGCCCTCTGTCATGGGACTGAGAAAGAAAGTGAAGCGGATTGGCTGCTGCAAGGTGACGTGTGTGAGGGGAAGGGATAGATCCATAATAATAATAATAATAATAATAATAATAATAATAATAATAATAGATCACATCAGCTGATTCAGAAAATTGCATTGGATAGATCACATCAGCTCTAGATTATTAAATATGGTTTTCTGTGGGCGAGCAGATGGCAACTACTGGATGGCATATGTTCTGTATCAAAAACTAGAGCTGATGTGGTCTATCCAGTGCAATTTTCTGAATCAGCTGATGTAGTCTATCCAAGGCAATTTTCTGAATCAGCTGATGTGGTTTATCCAGTGCAATTTTCTGAATCAGCTGATGTGGTCTATCCAATGCAATGTTCTGAATCGGCTGTTATGGTCCATTCAATGCAATGTTCTGAATCAACTGATGTGGTCTATCCAAGGCAGTTCCGAATCAGTTGATGTGGTCTATCCAATGCAGTTTTTTGAATCAACTGATGTGGTCCATCCAGTGCAATTTTCTGAATCAGCTGACGTGGTCTATCCAATGCAGTTATCTGAATCTGCTGATGTGGTCTGTCCAGTGCAATTTTCTGAATCAGCTAATTGGGTCTATCCAATGCAGTTATCTGAATCAGCTGATGTGGTGTATCCAAGGCAATTTTCCGAATCAGCTGATGTGGTGTATCCAAGGCAATTTTCTGAATCAGCTGATATGGTCTATTCAATGCAATGTTCTGAATCAGCTGATGTGGTCTATCCAATGCAATTCTCTGAAACAGCCGATGTAGTCTATGCAAGGCAATTTTCTGAATCAGCTGATGTTGTCTGTCCAATGTAATGTTCTGAATCGTCTGATATGGTCTGTTCAATGGATTGTTCTGAATCAGCTAATGTAGTCTATCCAATTTTCTGAATCAGCTGTTGTGGTCTCTATCCAAGGCAATTCCCAATCAGTTGATGTGGTCTATCCATTGCAGTTTTCTGAATCTGCTGATGTGGTCTATCCAGTGCAGTTTTCTGAATCAGCTGATGTGGTTTATCCAAGGCAGTTCCGAATCAGTTGATGTGGTCTGTCCAATGCAGTTTTTTGAATCAACTGATGTGGTCCATCCAGTGCAATTTTCTGAATCAGCTGACGTGGTCTATCCAATGCAGTTATCTGAATCTGCTGATGTGGTCTGTCCAGTGCAATTTTCTGAATCAGCTGATGTGGTCTATCCAATGCAGTTATCTGAATCAGCTGATGTGGTGTATCCAAGGCAATTTTCCGAATCAGCTGATGTGGTCTATCCAAGGCAATTTTCTGAATCAGCTGATATGGTCTATTTAATGCAATGTTCTGAATCAGCTGATGTGGTCTATCCAATGTAATTCTCTGAAACAGCCGATGTAGTCTATGCAAGGCAATTTTCTGAATCAGCTGATGTTGTCTATCCAATGTAATGTTCTGAATCGTCTGATATGGTCTATTCAATGGATTGTTCTGAATCAGCTAATGTAGTCTATCCAATTTTCTGAATCAGCTGATGTGGTCTCTATCCAAGGCAATTCCCAATCAGCTGATGTGGTCTATCCAATGCAGTTTTCTGAATCAGCTGCTGTGGTCTATCCAGTGCAATGTTCTGAATCAGCTGATGTGGTCTATCCAAGGCAATTTTCTGAATCAGCTGATGTAGTCTATCCAAGGCAATTTTCTGAATCAGCTGATGTGGTTTATCCAAGGCAATTCCGAATCAGCTGATGCGGTCTATCCAATGCAGTTATCTGAATCAGCTGATGTAGTCTATCCAATGTAGTTATCTGAATCAGCTGATGTGGTCTATCCAATGCAGTTATCTGAATCAGCTGATGTGGTCTATCCAAGGCAATTTTCTGAATCAGTTGATGTAGTCTATCCAAGGCAATTTAGCTGATGTGGTCTATCCAAGGCAATTTTCTGAATCAGCTAATGTTGTCTATGCAAGGCAATTTTCTGAATCAGCTGATGTGGTCTATCCAAGGCAATTTTCTGAATCAGCTGATGTGGTCTATCCAAGGCAATTTTATGAATCAGCAGATGTGGTCTATCCAATGCAATTATCTGAACCAGCTGATGTGATCTATCCAATGCAGTTTTTAATCAGCTGATGTGATCTATCCAGTGCAGTTTTCTGAATCAACACCCCAAATATCCAAACTGAATCTAAAGTTGACCAAAAACAGATTCGTAATCCTTTTGGTACTAATGTTGAAGAGTGGTCCCTGGTCAAAAAAAGGTTGGGAACCACTGGACTATACTGTCAAATTAATACAGTTTGACCCCACTTTGGGCCAGTGCGATAGCATTTTGAGAGCTGAACCTTGTTTCCCCCGACTATTTCCAGAATTGTTTCCCATCCAAATGGAGGGCGTGAAGCTGACGGTGAACAAAGGGCTCAGTAGTCACTTCCAGGTAAGATGGAACGCTTGCCGTTTTCAGGGAGGGTTTCCCAAGGGAGTGGCTTTGGAAACACATTATTGTGCAGCCACCCCTTTAATCATCCATGAACGTTATCTTCCTTGAAGGTGAACCACACGGTGGCCCTCAGTACCGTCGGCGACTCCAATTACCACTTTGGGGTGACCTACGTCGGGACGAAGCAGGTCAGCCCCACAGAGGTACGTACATACGTGTATGCGTGCAAAATAGCATGTCTAAAAAGGGGCTCTTCTTGCACACTCGACACCTACTTCACCCACTCTACATCTCTCTTTTCCACTCAGGCCTTTCCCGTCTTGGTGGGCGACATGGACAACAGCGGCAGCCTCAATGCACAGATCATCCACCAGCTCTCCAGCCGGATCAGCTCCAAGTTGGCCTTTCAGGTACACGGGCCCAAGGGTTTGCGCTCCCACGGGTGGGATGGAATGGTATATAAATAAAGTTTTATTATTATTTTTAAAAAGGACGACCCAAACAATGACCAATGTCCGGTCAGCCTCATGTCGATACCAGGCAAGTTTCTGAAAAGGATAATTAAGGAAGTGGTCTGCAAACATTTATTTATTTACAACATTTACTGTAATACTTGGAGGAATGAGGCCAACCACGTCCATCCTAGACCCCTGCCCATCCTGGCTTCTGAAGGAGGCCAGAGGGGGATTGGCCGAGTGGGTGAAGGTGGTGGTTAATGCCTCCCTTCGGGAAGGCAAAATTCCAGCGAGCTTAAAACAAGCTGTAATAAAACCGCTGTTGAAAAAACCATCACTGGACCCCACTCAATTCGTCAACTATCGGCCTGTTTCCAATCTTCCCTTTTTGAGCAAAGTCCTGGAACTTGTGGTGGCCTCACAACTCCAGGTATTCTTGGTAGACACTGATTATCTAGATCCGGCACAGTCTGGCTTCAGGCCGGGACATGGTACCGAGACAGCCTTGGTCGCCTTAGTGGATGATCTGCGCAGGGAGCTAGACAGGGGGAGTGTGTCCCTGTTGGTGCTGCTGGACCTCTCAGCGGCCTTCGATACCGTCGACCACGGTATCCTTCTGGAACGCCTCACGGGGATGGGTCTTGGAGGTACTGTTCTGCAGTGGCTCCGGTCATTCCTGGAGGGTCGATCTCAGAAGGTGTTGTTGGGGGACACCTGTTCAACCCCACAACCATTGTCTTGTGGGGTTCCTCAGGGCTCAATATTGTCTCCCATGTTGTTTAACATCTACATGAAGCCGCTGGGAGAGATCATCCGGAGTTTCGGGGTACGGTGTCATCTGTACGCAGATGATGTCCAACTCTGTCACTCCTTCCCACCTGCTACTAAGGAGGCTGTTCAGGTCCTGAACCGGTGCTTGGCCGCTGTGACGGTCTGGATGAGGGCGAACAAATTGAAATTGAATCCAGACAAGACAGAGGTACTCCTGGTCAGTCGCAAGGCCAAACAGGGCATAGGGTTACAGCCTGTGCTGGATGGGGTTCCACTCCCCCTGAAGACGCAAGTTCGCAGTTTGGGAGTGATCCTGGACTCATCGCTGAGCCTGGAACCGCAGGTCTTGGCGGTGGCCAGGGGAGCTTTTGCACAATTAAAACTTGTGCACCAGTTGCGCCCGTACCTTGGGAAGTCTGATCTGGCCACAGTGGTCCACGCTCTCATTACATCCCGAATAGACTACTGCAACACACTCTACGTGGGGTTGCCCTTGAAGACTGTTCGGAAACTCCAACTGGTCCAGCAGGAGGCAGCCAGACTGCTCAGAGCTTTTGCACAATTAAAACTTGTGTGCCAGTTGCGCCCGTACCTTGGGAAGCCGGATCTGGCCACAGTGGTCCACGCTCTCGTTACACCCCAAATAGACTACTGCAACGCACTCTATGTGGGGTTGCCTTTGAAGACTGTTTGGAAACTTCAATTAGTCCAGTGGGAGGCAGCCAGAGTACTCACCGGAGCGTCATACAGGGAGCATACCACCCCCCTGCTATGTCAGCTCCCCTGGCTGCCAATCCAATTCCGAGCACAATTCAAAGTGCTGGTTTTGACCTACAAAACCCTATACGGCTCCGGTCCAGCGTACCTGTCCGAACGCATCTCCCTCTACGTCCCACCTCGGAATCTGAGATCATCTGGGGAGGCCCTGCTCTCGACCCCACCTCTATCACAAGTGAGGCTGGTGGGGACGAGGAGCAGGGCCTTCTCGGTGGTGGCCCCTCACCTGTGGAATTCGCTCCCGGGGGAGATCAGATCAGCAACATCCCTCCTCTCCTTTAGAAGGAAATTAAAAACGTGGTTATGGGACCAGGCCTTCGGGCAACCTGGCAGTTAAGGACAATGGACGACTAGAATTAACAGGACTGTAATATCATTAGTAATATTACGTGTAATATAAAATATATAATTATAACATCATATTATTAGTAATATTATATTGTATTACATTATAATATTATAAATATTACATGTATATACAATATCTTATATATCTATATAAATAAAAATAGATTATATTATTAGCATAGTACAATATAAGTATTATATATTACTATATTGTACTATACAATTGTAATATTATTAGTAATATTATGTGTAATATAAAATATATAATTATAACATTATTAGTAGTATTATATTGTATTACATTATAATATTATAAATATTATATGTATATACAATATATTATATATCTATATAAATAACGTAATGTTTGTGGGATTAAGTTAACTCAAAAACCACTGGACTAATTGACACCAAATTTGGACACAAGACATGTTATCAGGTCAACAAATGACCATCACTCATAAAAAACACAGCAGAAAAGACTTAAAAAGCTAAAAATGCAAAAAGATGCTACAGCAAATGCACAAAACCACATATATATGTAAACACAAGTATATACACTAAGGAGGCTGTCGAAGTCCTGAACCGGTGCCTGGCCGCTGTAACGGTCTGGATGAGGGCGAACAAACTGAAATTAAATCCAGACAAGACAGAGGTACTCCTGGTCAGTCGCAGGGCCGAGCAGGGTATAGGGTTACAGCCTGTGCTGGACGGGGTCGCACTCCCCTTGAAGGCACAGGTTCGCAGCTTGGGTGTGACCCTGGACTCATCGTTGAGCCTGGATCCCCAGGTTTCAGCGGTGACCAGGGGAGCATTTGCACAGCTCCGGCTCGTGCGCCAGTTGCGCCCGTACCTTGGGAAGTCTGACTTGGCCACGGTGGTACACGCTTTGGTCACATCCCGTCTTGACTACTGCAACGCTCTCTACGTGGGGCTGCCCTTGAAGACGGCCCGGAAGCTTCAGCTAGTCCAGCGCGCGGCAGCCATGTTGTTAACTGGAGCGGGACGCAGGGAGCACACAACGCCCTTGCTGTCCCAGCTCCACTGGCTGCCGATCTGCTACCGGGCCCAATTCAAGGTGCTGGTGCTATCCTACAAAGCCCTAAACGGTTCCGGCCCAAAATACCTTGCAAACCGCATCTCGGCCTATGAGCCCACGAGGACCTTGAGATCATCTGGGGAGGCCCTTCTCTCGGTCCCGCCTGCCTCGCAGGCACGCCTGGCGGGGACGAGAGAGCGAGCCTTCTCGGTGGTGGCCCCCCGGCTATGGAACTCCCTCCCTGCTGAAATCAGACAGGCACCTTCCCTCATGGCCTTTCGCAAGGGCCTGAAAACTTGGCTCTTCGAAAAGGCCTTTAGCTAGTGCTATGTTTCCTTGGAATGATCACCGGAATGGACTATGACGATGAGATTGACTATGACCCTAATCTAGACGAAGCGGATTTTTATATGTGTGTGATTGTCTTGTTCCATTGTAAATTGTTGTTTTTTCTATGTTTTGTACACCGCCACGAGTCGCCTCCGGGCTGAGAGTGGCGGTTAACAAGTGCAAGTAATAAATAAATAATAAATAATAATAATATACACACATACACAAATATATACACACACATATATATTTATTATTTTTATTATTATTATTATTATTGTTTATTTTATTTTTTTATTATTTTACTTTTTAAAAAATTATTTTTATATTAATAAAAAATATACAATCACACACAAAGCACATGTACACAGACTGGGCCACAGCAACGCGTGGCAGGGAACAACTAGTTATATATAATATAATGTAACATATTATATTACATTCATTTGCACATTGCTGGAGATTTTTTTTAATGGCGTTGTAAATTAGTTAAATTAGCCTCCCTGCATAAGAAGTGCCTAAATTTCCTACTTGACAGAAGCAACTGTCTTTCGGGCTGCAAAGGTCGACAGCAAGCTAGACAAATGGTCGGGAGCTTACTCTGACCCGGGCTGGCTTCTAACTCAGTTGTGATTTTAATGCAGCAATAATTAACCGCCATTTCCCCTCAAACTAAGGCAAAACTATAACTCCCTCCCTTCTCCCTTTGCATCCTTTTTCTCCTCCCTCGCAGACGCAACAGTCCAAGTTTGTGAACTGGCAAGCGGACTGTGAATACCAGGGCACAGACTTCACGGCGGCCGTCACGCTAGGGAACCCTGACGTTTTGCTGGGATCAGGTGAGGTGGCTCCTCCTTTCCCTTCTTGATGTTTAGGTATATTGAGTCTTCTTGTACAGTTTGGTCCAGATCCATCATTGTTTGAGTCCACAGTGATCTCTGGATGTAGGTGAACTACAACTCCCAAACTCAAGATCAGTGTCCCCCAAACCCTTCTATTGTGTTCTGTTGGTCATGGGACAACCGTGTGCCAAGTTTGGTTCAATTCCATTGTTGGTGGGATTCGGAATGCTCTTTGATTGTAGGTGTACTATAAATCCCAGCAACTACAACTCCCAAATGTCAAGATTCCATTTTCCCCAAACTCCACCAGTGTTCACATTTGGGCATATTGAGTATTCATTTAGAGTTTGGTCCAGACCCATCATTGTTTGAGTCCACAGTGCTCTCTGGATGTAGGTGAACTACAACTCCAAAACCAAAGGACACTGCCCACCAAACCCTTCCAGTATTTCCTGTTGGTCGTGGGACAACCGTGCGCCAAGTTTGGTTCAATTCCATCGCTGGTGGGGTTCGGGATGCTCTTTGATTGTAGGTGAACTATAAATCCCAGCAATCATCATTGTTTGAGTCCACAATGATCTCTGGATGTAGGTGAACTACAACTCCAAAACCAAAGGACAGTGCTCACCAAACCCTTCCAGTATTTCCTGTTGGTCATGGGAGAACTGTGTGCCAAGTTTGGTTCAATTCCATCGTTGATGGGTTTCAGAATGCTCTTTGATTGTAGGTGAACTATAAATCCCAGCAACTACAACTCCCAAATGTCAAGATTCTATTTTTCCCCAAACTCCACCAGTGTTCACATTTGGGCATATTGAGTCTTTGTGTGGAGTTTGGTCCAGATCCATCATGGTTTGAGTCCACAGTGCTCTCTGGATGTAGGTGAACTACAACTCCAAAATCAAAGGACACTGCCCACCAAAGCCTTCCAGTATTTTCTGTTGGTCATGGGACAACCGTGCGCCAAGTTTGGTTCAATTCCATCGTTGGTGTGGTTCGGGATGCTCTTTGATTGTAGGTGAACTATACATCCCAGCAACTACAACTCCCAAATGTCAAGATTCTATTTTCCCCAAACTCCACCAGTGTTCACATTTGGGCATATTGAGTATTCATGTAGAGTTTGGTCCAGATCCATCCTTGTTTGAGTCCACAGTGATCTCTGGATGTAGGTGAACTACAACTCCAAAACCAAAGGACACTGCCCACCAAACCCTTCCAGTATTTTCTGTTGGTCATGGAAGAACTGTGTGCCAAGTTTGGTTCAATTTCCATTGCTGGTGGCATTCAGTGTGCTCTTTGATTGTAGGTGAACTATAAATCCCAGCAACTACAACTCCCAAATGACAAAATCTTTTTTTTTTTTTAGTGAAGGACATACCTTGGGTTGTTAGGTGTCTGGACTAGATGGCCTTCAGGGGTCCCTTGTAACTCTCTGATTCTGACGTCTACTTCTTTGTTGGTAGGGATCCTGGTGGCGCATTACCTGCAGAGCATCACGCCGTGCTTGGCGCTGGGCGGGGAGCTGGTGTACCACCACCGCCCGGGAGAAGAAGGCACCTTGATGTCTCTGGCCGGGAAGTACACGGCGCCCAACTGGATCGGGACCCTGACGGTCGGGCAGACGGGGGCCCACGCCACCTACTACCACAAAGCCAGCGACCAGGTAGGCAGGTGGTCCTCTGTCGGGAGGGCTTTGGTTGTGTCTTCCTGCCTGGCAAAAGGGGGTTGATTGGATGCCCTTTGGGGGTTCCCTCCAACTCTAAGATCCAGTGGCCGTATTTCTCCAATAATACATATTCCTCCAATAATAATAAAGAGTTAAAAATAATAATTGCAATAATAACAATAACAATAACAGAGTAAAATAATAAATGTAATATAATAATAAAAGTAAAATAATGTAAATGTACTAATAAGAATAAATAGAATAAAATAATAAATGTAATCTATATATATAATAAAGAAGAGTGTTTGTATCGGACAGAATTGTGGAGGGAGGGCGGTGTATGTGGCAGCGTTCTGATTGGCTGCCGCTGTGGTGCTATTTGCATATGGTCTCTGATTGGCCAGCTTCAATAGGAGCCCCTGGTGGAGAAGAGGGTTCATGGCAGAAACGGAGCATGACAGAAGGAAATTTGCATATGGTCTCTGATTGGCCAGCGTCAAATCCAACATTCCGAGATGAGAAAGAGAGGAAAGGAAAGGCCGGGGCCTGGGTCAGAACACTCCCAATATAGATCGAAATAGGCACACAGAGCCCCCATCACCCACTCTACATCCTACTGCAGTTTGGAGGACTATGAACCATGGATGATGGGACTTGCAGTACCACCACTCACATTCTGAGACCGCTCTCAACCTTATCCAATGACTGATCAGGACCAAACTTCGCACAGAGACCTCTCATGACCCACTTTACGTCCTGGTGTGGTTTGGCCGGGGATGGACCGTGGATTATGGGACTTGCAGTACCATTGCTTAATTCTTCATACCACTGCAACGCTCATCCAATTACCGATAAAGACCAAACTTGGCACAGAGTCCCCATGACCCACTCTACATCCTGGTGCACTTTTGAGGAGGACAGACCATGGATGATGGGACTTGAAGTACCTCCCCTCTCTTCCCAAGACGGCTGCAACCCTCATCTAATGTCTGATCAAGATCAAACTTGGCACACAGAGCCCCCATGACCCACTCTGCATCCTGCTGCAGTTTGAAGGAGGATCGACTTTGGATGATGGGACTTGCAGTACCATCACTCACATTCTGAGACCGCTGTTAACCTCATCCAATGACTGATCAGGACCAAACTTGGCACATAGACCTCTCATGACCCACTTTACGTCCTGGTGTGGTTTGGCCGGGGATGGACCATGGATTATGGGACTTGCAGTACCTTTGCTCAATTCTTGAGACCACTGCAACCCTCATCCAATTACCGATAAAGACCAAACTTGGCACACTGAGTCTCCATGACGCACTCTACATCCTGGTGCAGTTTGGAGGAGGATGCACCATGGACGATGGGACTTGCAATACCTGCACTCCCTTCCTAAGACCATTACAACTGCCAACAATGATGGATCAGGACCACAATTTACACAGAGAGCCCGCATGACCCACTCTACATCCTGGTGCGGTTTGGAAGAATTTGACAATGGATGATGGGACTTGCAGTCACTTCACTCACTTCCTGAGACCACTGAGACCCTCGCCAATGACTGATCAAGACTAAACTTGGCACATGGAGCTCCAATGACCCACTCTACATCCTGCTGCAGTTTGGAGGAGGACAGACCATGGATGATGGGACTTCAAGTACCTCCACTCCCTTCCAAAGATTACTGCAACCCTCTTCTAATGACCAATCAAGACCAAACTTGGCACACAGAGCCCCCATGATCCACTCTACATCCTGCTGCAGTTGGGTGGACTTTGGATGATGGGACGTGCAGTACCTTCACTCACTTACTGACACCACTGCCACCCTCATCTAATGACTGATAAAGACCAAACTTGGCACACAGAGCCCCCATGACCCACTCTATATCCTGCTGCTGTTTGTAGGAGAATGGCCCATGGATGATGGGACTTCAAGTACCTTCACTCACTTCCTGAAAATAATGCTGCCATTATCCAAAGACCAATAAAGACCAAACTTGGCATACAGAACCACCATTACCCACTTTCTCTAATAACCCGGGCAACGCCGGGTCCCCAAGCTAGTATAATAATAAAACAGAGTAAAATAATAAATGTAATATAATAATAATAAAAGTAAAATAATGTAAATGTAATAATAAGAATAAATAGAATAAAATAATAAATGTTACAATAAGAATAGAGTAAAATAATAAATGTAAAATAATAATAACAGAGTAAAATAATGTAAATGTAATAATTAGAATAAATAGAATAAAATAATAAATGTTACAATAAGAATAGAGTAAAATAATAAATGTAAAATAATAACAGAGTAAAATAATGTAAATGTAATAATAAGAATAAATAGAGTAAAATAACAAATGTAATAAAATAATAATAACAATAAGAGTAAAATAATGTAAATGTAAAAATTAGAATAAATAGAGTAAAATAATAAATGTAATAAGAATAAATAGAGTAAAATAATAAATGTAATAATAAGAATAAATAGAGTAAAATAATAAATGTAATAAGAATAAATAGAGTAAAATAATAAATGTAATAATAAGAATAAATAGAGTAAAATAATAAATGTAATAATAAGAATAAATAGAGTAAAATAATAAATGTAATAATAAGAATAAATGAGTAAAATAATACATGTAAAATAATAATAATAATAATAATAACAGTAAATAATGTAATGTAATAAAATAATTATTATAATAGAGTAAAATAATGTAAATATAATAATTAGAATAGAGTAAAATAAATAATAATAATAATAATAAAGTAAAATAATAAATGTAATATAATAATAATAATAGTAAAATAATGTAAATGTAATAATAAGAATAGAGTAAAATAATAAATGTAAAATAATAATAATAACAGAGTAAAATAATGTAAATGTAATAATAAGAATAAATAGAGTAAAATAATAAATGTAAAATAATAATAATAATAGTAAAATAATGTAAATGTAATAATAAGAATAAATAGAGTAAATATACATGTAAAATAATAAAATAATAATAGAGTAAAATAATGTAAATGTACTAATAAGAATAAATAGAGTAAAATAATAAATGTCATAAAATAATAATAATAATAATAGAGTAAAATAATGTAAATGTAATAAAAATAAATAGAGTAAAATAATGAATGTCATAAAATAATAATAATAGAGTAAAATAATGTAAATGTAATAATAAGAATAAAAATAATAAATGTAATAAAATAATAATGATAATAACAGAGTAAAATAATGTAAGTGTAATAATAAGAATAAATAGAGTAAAATAATAAATGTAATAAAATAATAATAGAATAAAATAATGTAAATGTAATAATAAGAATAGAGTAAAATAACAAATGTAATAAAACAATAATAACAATAAGAGTAAAATAATGTAAATGTACTAGTAAGAATAAATAGAGTAAAATAATAAATATAATAAAATAATAATAATAAGAGTAAAATAATGTAAATGTAATAATTATAAATAAAAATAATGTAAATGTAATAATAAGAATAAATTGAGTAAAATAACAAATGTAATAAAATAATAACAACAATAAGAGTAAAATAATGTGAATGTACTAGTAAGAATAAATAGAATAAAATAATAAATGTAAAATAATAATTAGAGTAAAATAATAAATAGAGTAAAATAATAAATGTATAATAATAATAACAACAACAACAACAACAACAACAACAACAACAACAGAGTAAAATAATAAATAACCTTGACTCGAGTATAAGCCGAGGGGGCTTTTTCACCCTAAAAAAGGGGCTGAAAAACTTGGCTTATATTTGAGTATGGTAATTGGTTTCTTCCGTCTTCACGTCCTTTCTTTGGCTCTCCTCCAGTTGCAAGTTGGGGTAGAATTCGAAGCCAGCACTCGGATGCAGGACACCAGCGTCACGTTCGGCTACCAGCTGGACCTTCCCAAAGCCAACCTTTTGTTCAGAGGTATGGAAATATTACACACCATCGATTCTCATGAGAAGACCTTGAGTGGGCTCAAAAGGTGTCTTTAGGGCAGAAGGGGGTTGGACTGGATGTCCTTTGGGGGTCCCTTCCAATTCTAGTGGAATGTAGACTGGGAGCCTGGCGGAGACTTCTTCTCCGGAGGTTTGTATGAAGAGGCTGGATGGCCATCTGTTGGGAGGGATCGGATTGTGTCTTCCATTATGGCAGAAAGGGGGTGGACTGGATGTCCTTTGGGGGTCCCCTCCAACTCTAGTGGAATGTAGACTGGGAGCCTTGCGGAGACTTCTTCTCTGGAGGTTTGTATGCAGAGGCTGGATGGTCATCTGTTGGGAGTGATCAAATTGTGCCTTTCTTTATGGCAGAAGGGGGTTGGGCTGGATAGCCTTTGGGGAGCACTTGCAAATCTAGAATTCTATCTATCTATCTATCTCTCAGTCATATATATGGTTGGATGGTCATCAATTGGGAGGGATCAGGTGGTGCTTTCCTTGATGTCAGCAGAAGGGGGTTGGACTGGATGGCTTTGGGGGTCCCTTCCAGGTCTAGGATTCCATCTATCTATCTATCTATCTATCTATCTATCTATCTATCTATCTCTCACTCATATATATGGTTGGATGGCCATCAGTCGGGAGGGATTGGATTGTGCCTTCCTTTATGGCAGAAGGGGGTTGGACTGGATGGCCTTTGGGGACCCCTTCCAAATCTAGTGGAATGTAGACTGGGAGTCTGGTGGAGTCTTCTTCTCTGGTGGTTTGTAAGCAGAGGCTGGATGGCCATCTGTTGGGAGGGATTGGATTGTGCCTTCCTTTATGGCAGAAAGGGGGTTAGACTGGATGGCCTTTGGAGGTCCCTTCCAAGTCTAGGATACTGTTTGTCTGTCTGTCTATCTATCTATCCATCCATCCATCCATCTCTCAGTCATATATATGATTAGATGGCCATCAATCGGGAGGGATCACGTGGTGTTTTCCTTGATGGCAGCAGAAGGGGGTTGGGCTGGATGGCCTTTGGGGACCCCTTCCAAATCTAGGATTCTATCTATCTATCTATCTATCTATCTATCTATCTATTTCTATCCATCCATCCATCCCTCCATTCATCCACCCCTTTATCCATCCATCCATCCATCCATCCATCCATCCATCCATCCATCCATCCATCCATATATCCCACTAGCTATCGATCGATTGATTCATTAATCCCTCTATCCATCCATTCCTCCATTCATCTATCCCACTAGCTATCTGTCAATCTATCCCTCTAACTATCCATCCATCCATCCATCCCTCTATCCCATTAGCTATCTTATCTTATCTTATCTTATCTTATCTTATCTTATCTATCTATCTATCTATCTATCTATCTATCTATCCATCCATTTATCCATCTATCAATCCATCCAACCATCCCTCCCTCCCTCTATCCACCCATCAATGCATCCATCCCTCCATTCATGTATCCCACTATCCCTCCATCCATCCATTCATTCTCCATCCATCCATCCATCCCTCTATCCCATTAGCTATCTTATCTGCCTATCTGCCTGCCTGCCTGCCTGCCTATCTATCTATCTATCTCTATCTATCTATCCATCCATCCATCCATCCATCCATCCATCCATCCATCTCTCAGTCATATATATGGTTGGATGGCCATCAGTTGGGAGGGATCGGGTGGTGCTTTCCTTGATGTCAGCAGAAGGGGGTTGGACTGGATGGCCTTTGGGGGCCCCTTCCAACTCTAGGTCTCTGTCCCGCCCCCTGGCTTTGCTCCGGCCCCCTTTGACACCCCGTCTTTCCCTCGGCAGGTTCCGTGGACAGCAACTGGATTGTGGGGGCCACTTTGGAGAAGAAGCTCCCCCCCTTGCCCTTGACGCTGGCCATGGGCGCCTTCCTCAACCACCGCAAGAACAAGTTCCAGTGCGGGTTCGGCCTCACCATCGGATAGACACCGGGGGGTGGGGGGCTCCCGCGCCTCTGCCGGCCGCTCTCTCGTTCTCTCTCTCTCCGCGCCTCCTCCCCACCTGCATCCTCTCCCCCCCCTTTTTTTATTTACCTTTGCCGTTCCAGAGGGCACAGGGCGGTTGGGCAGTGCCAGCATGACACGATGGGCAGTGCCAGTAGAACGTGTTTGGGCAGCGGCAGCATAATGTGTTGGGCAGCGCCAGTGTAAAATAATGGGCAATGCCAACATAATCATTTGGGCAGTTCCAGCACGTTTTGAGCATTGCCGGCATAACATAAGGGCAATCATTAGGCAGTGCCAGCATGATGGGTTGGGTATTGATAGTATAATATTTTGGGCAGTGCCAGCATAACATGGTGGCCGTCATAACGTGTTTCACACTTCCAGCGTAATGTTTTAGGGAATGCTAGCATAACGTGTTGGGCAATGCCAGTGTAAAATAATGATCAGCGCCAACATATGTTGGGCATTGCCAGCATAACAATTTGGGCAGTTCCAGCATAATGTTTTGGACATTGCCAGTATAAACACAATAGCTATCGTTATGCACTGTCACCATAATGTTTTGGTAATGCTAGCAAAACAATTTGGGCATTGCCAGCATAATGTTTTGGGCATCGCCAGTATAACACGATAGCTATCATTATTCACTGTCACCATAATGTTTTGGTAATGCTAGCATAACATTTTGGGCATTGCCAGCATAATGTTTTGGGCAGTTCCAGCATAATGTTTTGAGCATTGGCAGTATAACACAATGGCTATCATTGCACACTGTCAGCATAATGTGTTTGTAATTCTAGCATAACATTTTGGGCATTGCCAGTACCACAATTTGGGCAGTTCCAGCACAATGTTTTGGGCATTGCCAGTATAACACGATGGCTATCATTACACACTGTCAGCATAATGTGTTGGTAATGCTGGCATAACATGTTGGTCAGTGCCAGCATGATGTGTTGGGCAGTGCCAGTGTAAAATAATGCATAATGCCAGCATGTGTTGGGCATTGCCAGCATAATAATTTGAAAAGTACTAGCACAATGTTTTGGGCATTGCCAGTATAAACACAATAGTTACCGTTATGCACTGTCAGCATAATGTGTTGGTAATAATAGCAAAACATGTTGGGCATTGCCAGCATATCAACGTGGAAAGCACCAGCTGCCAGTGTGAAATAATGCATAATGCCAGCATGTGTTGGGCATTGCCAGTATAACACAACTGCTATCATTACACACTGTCTGCTTAATGTGTTAGATAATGCTAGCATAACATGTTGGCCAGTGCCAGCATGATGTATTGGGCAGTGCCAGTGTAAAAGAAAGTTTAATGTCAGCATGTATTGGGCATTGCCAGCATAACATTTTGGGCAGTGCCAGCATAACAGGATAGCAATCATAACATGTTTCGTGCTGCCAGCATAATATTTTAGGTAATGCTGGCATGATGTGTTGGGTGGTGCCAGTGTAAAATAATGCATAATGCCAGCGTGTGTTGGGCATTGCCAGCATAACATTCTGGGCAGTGCCAGCATAACAGGATAGCCATCATAATGTGTTTCGTGCTGCCAGCATAATATTTTAGGTAATGCTGGCATGATGTGTTGGGCAGTGCCGGTGTAAAATAATGCATAATGCCAGCATTCGTTGGGCATTGCCAGTATAACATTTTGGGCAGTGCCAGCATAATAGGATAGCCATCATAACATGTTTCGCTCTGCCAGCATAATATTTTAGGTAATGCTGGCATGATGTGTTGGGTATAAAATAATGCTCAATGCAAACGTATGTTGGGCAGTGCCAGCATAACATGATGGCCATCATCATGCACTGCCAGCGTAATACGATGTTGGGCAGTGCCAGCATAGTTATGTAACATTTTGGGCAATACTGGCATAACACGTTGGGCATTTCCATAATGTAAGGGGCAGTGGCAGCATGATGTGTTGGGCATTGCCAGTATGACATACTAGGCACCTCCCTCCCTCCATCCCACAACAAGTTGCTGGTTCTCAGGGAACGTGGAAGGCAGGCAAGAGGGCCCCCCAATTCATTTGCCCCCCAAGGTACGGTTTATGCCAGCCGGGCTCTATTCTGCCAGCTGCCACCAGGAGGAGCTCTTGCTTTGTCAATGGGGTGCATCCACCTTTCTCTATGGCTGCTAATTCAGTGGGGAGGATACGGCTTTGTGGGTGTTTTTGTTTTCCAAGTCCCAAACTATGAGGGTTGGGACAGGATATCTATGACTCTGGGGGTCTTTCCTTTCGTCACCCCTCGGGCCGCCATTGGCATCGCTCAGGACGCGTCCTCCACTGCTGTGTTTGCTGGATATCATGGCCTCCTGGCTTCCTTCCCAAACCGGATGCAAAGTCCTGCTCTGCAGAGAGAAAGAACTACAAAGCCCATCCACCTATGGAGAGAGAGACAGAGAGCGCGCGCGCACATGGGGCCTTTGCCTGCCCGCTGCTTCCTGCCGCCAGAGACTGAGTGTAAATCATGTTTATAAGTTATGGGGGTCTCTTACGGGAAGCAAAGCCGTCCCCCCAAAGCTGCCCTTCCCGCAAAGTTGGCAACATCCGGTTTCAATTAAAAGGAAAACACACATACACACACATGGTCTTGCTTTGCGTCCTTTTTCTTGCCACTGATCTAATGATGCACAGAAGCAGGAAATGTTCCAGAGGTTGCACTGTCACTATATTGCTACTACTAGTATTATTTATTTACTGACCTCTCCTCAAGCCAGAGAACTCGGTTTTAAACCAGAGAAGGAAGGAATTTCCTGGTCTCTCCTTAAGCCAGAGAAGCCAGTTTTAAACTGGAGAAGGAAGGAACTTCCTGGCTTCAGCTCAAGCCAGAGAAGCCAGTTTTAAACCAGAGAAGGACAGAATTTCCTGACCTCGGCTCAAGCCGAAGAAGCCAGTTTTAAACCAGAGAAGGAAGGAATTTCCTGGCCTCGGCTCAAGCCAGAGAAGCCAGTTTTAAACCAGAGAAGGAAGGAATTTCCTGGCCTCGGCTCAAGCCAGAGAAGCCAGTTTTAAACCAGAGAAGGAAGGAATTTCCTGACCTCGGCTCAAGCCAGAGAAGCCAGTTTTAAACCAGAGAAGGAAGGAATTTCCTGGCCTCGGCTCAAGCCAGAGAAGCCAGTTTTAGACCAGAGAAGGAAGGAATTTCCTGGCCTCGGCTCAAGCCAGAGAAGCCAGTTTTAGACCAGAGAAGGAAGGAATTTCCTGGCCTCGGCTCAAGCCAGAGAAGCCAGTTTTAGACCAGAGAAGGAAGGAATTTCCTGGCCTCGGCTCAAGCCAGAGAAGCCAGTTTTAGACCAGAGAAGGAAGGAATTTCCTGGCCTCGGTTCAAGCCAGAGAAGCCAGTTTTAGACCAGAGAAGGAAGGAATTTCCTGGCCTCGGCTCAAGCCAGAGAAGCCAGTTTTAGACCAGAGAAGGAAGGAATTTCCTGGCCTCGGCTCAAGCCAGAGAAGCCAGTTTTAAACCAGAGAAGGAAGGAATTTCCTGGCCTCGGCTCAAGCCAGAGAAGCCAGTTTTAAGCCAGAGAAGGAAGGAATTTCCTGGCCTCGGCTCAAGCCAGAGAAGCCAGTTTTAGACCAGAGAAGGAAGGAATTTCCTGGCCTCGGTTCAAGCCAGAGAAGCCAGTTTTAGACCAGAGAAGGAAGGAATTTCCTGGCCTCGGCTCAAGCCAGAGAAGCCAGTTTTAGACCAGAGAAGGAAGGAATTTCCTGGCCTCGGTTCAAGCCAGAGAAGCCAGTTTTAGACCAGAGAAGGAAGGAATTTCCTGGCCTCGGCTCAAGCCAGAGAAGCCAGTTTTAGACCAGAGAAGGAAGGAATTTCCTGGCCTCGGTTCAAGCCAGAGAAGCCAGTTTTAGACCAGAGAAGGAAGGAATTTCCTGGCCTCGGCTCAAGCCAGAGAAGCCAGTTTTAGACCAGAGAAGGAAGGAATTTCCTGGCCTCGGCTCAAGCCAGAGAAGCCAGTTTTAGACCAGAGAAGGAAGGAATTTCCTGGCCTCGGCTCAAGCCAGAGAAGCCAGTTTTAGACCAGAGAAGGAAGGAATTTCCTGGCCTCGGTTCAAGCCAGAGAAGCCAGTTTTAGACCAGAGAAGGAAGGAATTTCCTGGCCTCGGCTCAAGCCAGAGAAGCCATTTTTAAACCAGAAAAGGAAGGAATTTCCTAACCCAGCTCAAGCCAGAGAAGTCAGTTTTAAACCAGAAAAGGAAGGAATTTCCTAGCCTCGGCTCAAGCCAGAGAAGCCAGTTTTAAGCCAAAGAGCCGCCGTTGTACACAGACGCCTCCAAAGTCATGTTGCCATAGCCATGACTGCAGGGAGAACCGTTACCTTCCCGCCAAGACGGTACCTATTGATCTACTCACCTTCTCTGGTTTAAAACCGGTTTTTCTGGCTTGAGCCAAGGCCAGGTAATTCCTTCTTTCTCTGGTTTAAAACCGGCTTCTCTGGCTTGAGGCGAGGCCAGGAAATTCCTTCCTTCTCTGGTTTAAAACTGGCTTCTTTGGCTTAAGGAGAGGTCAGTTTCCATTAGTATTACAATATAATAACTGTGAGTTAATTATTATTGCAATTGTTATATTGATGGGACTCAAAAGCATCTCGCCACACTAAAAACAATACCACTTGCCATTTGAAACCTGCCACAGGTAAGTATATACACACATATACATATACATGTGTGTGTGTGTGTGTGTGTGTATATATATATATATATGTGTGTGTGTGTGTGTAAACACACACAGGTATTAAGTAAGTATGGGAATATACGCATGTAGTATATGTATGCGCACAGTTTGGGCTGGTTTGTTTGCCCTTCTAGATTTGCAAACCTTGGCTGTTTTGCAAACGGAGGAGACTTGCAAACTAGATTTGCAAACGGAGAGAAGCCAGCTTGCGTTTTGCTGGCCTGCCTTCGTTGCGTGCAGATCCTTGCCTTGGGTTTTCGCAGCCTTTGCCTCCAGGAGTTGTAGTTTGCCAATGGGCAGCACGGCGTGGCGCTTGAAATCCCTTTCGGGGCAAGGTCCAGGAGGCCAATACTTGAGGAAAA